GGGGCTGAACACCTTTTGCAGAGAACACCTTTCTGCGTAGGCGGCCTCCGGCCGCACTTAGTGATTATAACCAGCTGATAACAAAGTAGAATTCTGTTTCTGTGTTGCGAAGAAAAGGCACTGAACACCTTTTGCAGAGAACTCCTTTCTGCTGATAAACTTGATAAAATGATAAATTTCTATTTAATCAAAGTTTATCACTTTATCAAACGATTTTGGTGGATAAACGTACTAATTTCAGTAAAATTCAACTCGATTTTGCTCTTCTTCTTCTTATTTGGCGCTGTAACCGCCTAAGCGATTTTGGCCGGATTTTGCTACGAACACATAAAAAACAAATGAAAACAATGTACGAGGTAAGAATGAAACGTAACTAGCCATATAAGTTAAATAATATGCAATTATTTACCAAGGTGCGTTCATGTAAGAATGTGGATAAGCGATAAATTTATCAATTTATCCCTTTATCACTNGGCGCTGAACACCTTTTGCAGAGAACACCTTTCTGCGTAGGCGGCCTCCGGCCGCACTTAGTGATTATAACCCTCACAAAGTAGAATTCTGTTTCTGTGTTGCGAAGAAAAGGCACTGAACACCTTTTGCAGAGAACACCTTTCTGCGTAGGCGGCCTCCGGCCGCACTTAGTGATTATAACCCTCACAAAGTAGAATTCTGTTTCTGTGTTGCGAAGAAAAGGCACTGAACACCTTTTGCAGAGAACACCTTTCTGCGTAGGCGGCCTCCGGCCGCACTTAGTGATTATAACCAGCTGATAACAAAGTAGAATTCTCTTTCTGTGTTGCGAAGAAAAGGCACTGAACACCTTTTGCAGAGAACCCCTTTCTGCGTAGGCGGCCTCCGGCCGCACTTAGTGATTATAACCAGCTGATAACAAAGTAGAATTCTCTTTCTGTGTTGCGAAGAAAAGGCCCTGAACACCTTTTGCAGAGAACTCCTTTCTGCTGATAAACTTGATAAAATGATAAATTTATCATTTTGATAAATGAACTGTCAATCTTTGTATGGAAATCTATTTAATCAAAATTTATCACTTTATCAAACGATTTTGGTGGATAAACGTACAAATTTCAAACTCGATTTTGCTCTTCTTCTTCTTATTTGGCGCTGTAACCGCCTAAGCGATTTTGGCCGGATTTTGCTACGAACACATAAAAAACAAATGAAAACAATGTACGAGGTAAGAATGAAACGTAACTAGCCATATAAGTTAAATAATATGCAATTATTTACCAAGGTGCGTTCATGTAAGAATGTGGATAAGCGATAAATTTATCAATTTATCCCTTTATCACTTTAGATGGGGACCCCTAATGAGAAGTACTGAATGTTCACCCACGAAAATGTTTAGTTGCTGAAGGGCTAAGCATCCCAATAAACACTAAAAAAATATTTCTCCAACCTTGGAGAAATTCATATGGGGTGTTCACAGTTCGTTCCAAATAGTGTCTCAAAATGTAGACGTCTACATTTTAAGACGTTTTCTAACCGTAAAATCTGTGGTGTTGTTGTTTCCCATACAAAATTGGAAAACGACGCCGTCTACATTTTGTCACACTCAAAGGTATGTTTTTTACGCGTCTACATTTTGCAACCTCGCAGCAGGGTGACATTATGACAATACTAATC